GAATGCCTACAAAAAATCAAAATATATATAAGTGCTGGAACCACTTCTCGCACAACGTGAAACAGAGAGCAAATACAAGTATGGGCTGTACAGTGTAACAAGATTAGAAATAACATATGGTCCACTAGTTAATACAACAACCGGAGTATCTAAACAGTATCAGTCATTCAGTTGACCTTCTTTAACTAGTATACTCATGCTCAAGATATATCCAAGAATTCATGCATGTAAACACAAAATAGAGCAACCTTTGTGTTCTGCTTGTTCCCTGGAAAAAGATAGCAGCAGAACATATTCCTTTGGTCAATATCAAGTACTCCGGGGGATTGAAAAATCACACTGCCATAGGTTTGGCCTGATGAAACCTAAATACATGATGGTGCGCAGTGATGAAAGTTCATCAGAATGGAACTAGATTCTCGATACTAAAAAAATTGAATAAAGATGGTCAGAAAGTATTTGACATGGAAGTATGAGAAACTCCTATTGGGAATCAAATCAGTAACCCCAGTAGTTCTAGAGGGATGCATAAAGGGCCTTACAACGTAGTCAAAGACAAAATCATTACTGGACCATTTGAGAACTTCTGCTTCATATAAGAAGGTCAGCTTCCCAGCTTGGCGCCGTAGTTCCTAAAATAACAATAATAAACTTGTGACAACAATAATCAATAATTTTTAAAACAAAAAAAATTTCAAAAATCTAAGAGAAGCAGCACCTTCATAGGATGACTAGATGTCTTACACAAAACTTCTGCTCCAGGAAATGCGTTAACATTCAACTTTATCTTTTCTCTCTTTGAGATTTTCTTTCCAGCAGGAGTCACATACTCTGGGAAACTGAACGGGATATTCAGGGAAAATTGCCCATCATGATACACTAGCTTCTGAGACCATCTAATAGTCACTGAAATGTTTGCTCCTCCGTCAATCTGAAGATTAAAACTATTGTAAATATGAAATCACGTTAAATAGACCATCTTTAGACAGAAAATATTTCCATTGTCGCAGCAGTCCTACCTGTGGAACATTGAAGGTAAAAATGTTTGACTTCAAGTAGCTTCCTTCGCCAACCTTTGCAGTCAAGCCCATTTCTCTATCATCCTCAAAGGCAATCACTTCAGTAGAATAAAATTCTCTGGGTACTTCAACCTCAACACCTAGAATGGAACCCTGTTAGCCAAATAATTTATCACTTGAGAACAATCAGTGGTGTTTCACAAAAGTGAAACAAGTGAAGCTAATAAGGTTCCTGCGATGTAATAAAGGATGTTATTAAAAGAAAGTCGTAATCACATGGTGGTAACTATCAGGTATTAGGCAAAAAAAGGGGGTGACCTAACTCACTCCAGCTCTCCCTATTTGTAAACATAAACAAGACTCACTAAATACTTGTAGCTAGCAAGAAAGCACAACCAACAAGACTCTTAATGAAACTATAACATTGTTAGACTGTTTGATTTCCCATTACCAAGCTAACAAGAAAGCAGCTGTAAAGTTTTCATTTATGAGATATTGCTCAATTTTTTTACAGTACAGACAACAGAAGTTACGCTAAAATGGCATTTTTAGTACAAAATTTTAGAAGTCATCAAAACAAAAAGGAGAGAGGAATGACCACATCAGTGCATTGAATCCAATATACAAACAAACACAAATAAGCCTCAGAAATTTTGTTTTGATGACTTCAGAAATTTTGTACTAAAAATGCCATTTTAGCGTAACTTACCACGTCAATGCATCAAATCCAGTATACAAACAAACACAAATAAGCCTCATCCCAAGTAACATGGGTTCGGATACACGAACCGAGAGCCCCAAGAGAAACTTATATTCTATCATTAAAAAATGCTCTCTCATCAATTATTTCTTTCCATAGTCACACTCCCATAACTCCAAAAGGACAACCCAGTGCATAAAACATCCCCCCACTCAGCGAGGGTATAGAGAAATGTCCAACCATAAGGGTGTGATTTTGTCAAACCTTGCACTTTTGCAAGAGGCAAGATACAATACTCACATCTCCCATCTAATCCCCAAAGCAATCTTTTTTGGATATTCTTAGTATTACAGATGTTATTCCTAAAATCAACCCCATTTAATAAATGTATTTATTCCTCAATAAAGTTGAAACTTCTAGAGGGGAGGTTACTTACAAAAAGCAAAGTAATTCAGACTTATTTGTTTATATAATTGAATGCAGAAAGATTTCCCCTAGTGAGTAATTAAATGCAGTCCATAGATACAATGTCAAAACATAATAATAGAATTAATATAAAAATCAAACGCATAAATCTTAAAGCAATTCAAATTTGGTTATACTATATAAATACCTGTTCGCCCATGGGAACAGCAAAGCAGCAATCGCAGCACTGGCTCCCCATGACGCAATGCACGCGCCAGGAGCCGGAGAGTGTGACGAAGGCGGTGTCAAGGCAGCACTCAACCTCGAGGGAGACGCCGTTCATCTGGAGGGGGATCAGAGCGGGAGGATCGCACCTGCCGTGCACGTGAGGCTGGTAGCTGGGAATATCAGGGTTGTCGACGAAGGCTGGATTCTCGATGACGGCGTAGACCATGGGAGCCGAAGGGAGGTAGGAGCCAGCCGCCTTCTCCATGGGGGTCATCGGCTTAGGCGGCGCCACGGCACGGTCCTTGCCGAAATAAATCCGCTTTGCCAGCCGCAGGCCGTCCTCCACGGCGTTCTCGAACTCCTCCGCCATGAGCAGGCCGGCGGTTGCACGGAGGAGGGGAGAGGAATGCAGGGAGGGGTAAAATGGGAAAGGAATGTGTGAGGGGTTCGGAAATGGGGGGTCAATGAAGGAAGGAAGGAGGAGGGGAGTTAGATTCGGACGGTGCCCGACGTCCGAGGGCTGAATAAAAGGGATGAATTCTCGGAGAAATTAACGGGCGTTATCTCCTGACGTTTCTTTTTAAACGTGAATCGCATTCCTTCATCGGCCCATTCGTCGTTATGTGGAGTACAAGAGACAAAAGTTTCTTTCTTTTTCTATTCTCTCAGTACTATTGTTATTATAATTGTTGTTCTTACTAATATTTCCTCTCTTCGAATTTACATATATTTAAAACCCTTAGAAAAAAATTAACATAAGAGTAATATTTTTAAAAATATATCAAAATAGAACTTTCATATTTTTATTTTCAAAATAAAAGTTAAGATATATTTATATCACTAATCATGATTAAGTACATTACCAAAAGTATATAGTAAAATTCACATATACAATGTCATATTATCACAGTACGAACTCCTATTTAGAAAATAAAATATGGAACTCCTATTTTAGTTTTCTCTATGTTTTACTCCTATTTAAAATGATTTTTTTAAAACTATTCCCTTAATATATATGTGTGTGTGTGTTCTAGTGAGAATGCGATCTGATGAAAGAAATATAATAATGAATCTATTTGTTTAGATAGTGAGATCTAAGGGTTACGATTGCATCAAAATTAGATGCACCAAAATAGTTTGAAAATGTGTCATGTCGAAATGCACCAAAATCCTTTAAAAATGCATTATCTCAAAATCTGAACGCAGGATGCAATCATATATATGTATGTTTGTATGTATGTTTGTATATGCATATGTATATGTATAAGTATGTGTGTGTGTGTGTTTAAAACTACATTAAAAAGTTCTTTAAAACTAGAAGTGACATACTGTAACATTTTATCAAATGAATGATGAAAATATCAAAAAAATGAATGAAGTCTTGTGAATAGTAACAAGACAATTACATTTGGGACGGATGGACTACATTTTTCTTTTTTATTACTATATTACTGCGTATTATTGATGAGACAAAACACTAGTTGTCTTATTTTATCTTTAAAATAGGAATAAAATTTATTTTATTTTAAAATTCACATTGATTCTTTAAAAAATCAAGACTGCCCATTTTTTCACCTTAGTGTCATAGTTTCACTATACAATGTAAGCCGAAGTAACAATGCTCAAGATGATAATGTATACAGAAGAAAATTTGTGGACGAAAAAAGTATTACAAAACTTTAAGGAAAAACTCTCTAGATAGGAGTAAAAAACTATGAAGATACCAAAATATCAGTCATAAGTCTTTTAAACTAAAATAGAGTTCACACTGCTATTGTGACATTGTCACACTCATCACATTGTCACATTGTAATTGCCACATTACCATCGTCGCACTGGCATCCGTCTTTGCTGACCACCCGAGTGTCACCGCGGATTATCGATGGTGATTTGATCACACTCACATATTATATTGTCATCACTTTTCCATCACACTGCCAACGCGTACTCTTACACTACACTGTCATTATACTCTTATTTTGGTCTTAATAGACTTAAGACTTTTGTTTCGGTATTTTCATACTTTTTTCCTCCTATTAAGGTAGATTTCCTAAACTTTAAATGAAGGTACAAATTTACATCTTTTGACAACAAACATTGCTGTCGTAATATGAAAACAATGCTTACGGTGCTTTGTTTGAAAAAATGACAGTTTCTATCCTCTAACCTCGTTAAATTCCCCTACTCCCTCCCTGGACCCACCCAAGCACCCCATGCCCCCACCCCAAATTGTCGATTGGCTACACTAGCCAATAGGCGATTTAGGGTGGGGCAGGGGGTGTTGGGGTGGGGTTAGGTAGGGGAAGGGACCAAGGGAATTAAGTGAGATAGGAATCATCAATTTTTGAATGGAGCATCATAGGGCATTGTTGTCATAATATAACAATAAATGTTATTATCAAAAGGAGGCCAAACTTACATATACATCACAATAGTTTTTTTAATACTCCCTTTGTCTGGTATTAATGATCCTATTTTGACTCATTGTTATTTTTATTGAGTGTTGACTAAGAAATTGAAATGACAAAATTGCCCTTAATAAAAAAATAAATAAATAAAGAAATGGATGGAATGGGCTGGGCGAACTACTGAATGAACAAACACATTGTTTAAATAGCAAAATAGGGGTGTGGGTTTGTTACGTCAAATCAAGACTTACAACATTTAACAAAAAATCATTCAAAATTTAAAAAAGTTCCACTAGTAATTCAGGATTCCCTCCTTTTTTCATGTTACCGCCTAAGCTAAACAAACTCATCCCTGGGAGATTATAAAATCCCCAACCCTTTCCTCTTTTGCCCTACACATTCTTCAATCACATGTCTTGTTCATCCTCCTCTTATGGCAGTCTCCTTTCTTCATATTCCTTTTTTCCTTCCTAATGTGTCAGTCTCCTTTCTTCATATTCTTTTTTCCTTCCTACTTCTTGGAGGCATGCAAACATAATGAATATCACTGACATAAATACCAAGAAGTTGAACAACAAATCAAGGCAACTTATTGGTGAAGAGCTTCTAAGACATTCAAAACAAAATACATGTGGTTCATACTCAACTTAGAGAGGACTGATCAACAAGTTGGCTGTAGAATTTAATGTGTCTAGAAAAATAGTTAGTAAGATATGAGCCATTGGAAAGAAATAATTAGAGCAGGGGGTTGTCATTGATGTGAGAATCAGAATGATTGGTAACAGTGGCACAAAGAAGGAAAACATGGATGTAAAAGCTATTGCAGACACTCCCCTCATGAAGAGGGGTACTGTAAGATCATTAGCAACTGCCATTGGCAAGCGAAAGTCAATTGTGCATGAGTGGATAAAAAGAGGTATGTTTAGGAGTCATTCTAATGCTATAAAAACATACTTAACTAATATTAATAAACTTTCAAGGTTGAGTTTCTCTTTAGAGCTGGTTGAACCTTCAGTATGCCTCACCAGTCTATGTTTAAGACTTTTCACAATATTTTGCACATTTATGAGAAGTGGCTCTTTATGACCAAAACTTCTATGAGATTTTACCTTCTTCTAAATGAAGTAGACCCATATAGGACATGCAAATCAAAAAGGTCCATAACAAAAGTCATGTTCTTGTGGGTGGTTAGGAGACCATTTGTTGATGATAATGGAGCTGTTTTATGGGATGGTAAAGTTGGCATATTCTATTTCACGTTGTTTTATGGGATAGTAAAGTTGGCATATTCCATTTCACTGAAAGTGTGAAAGCCAAAAGAAAGAGCAAGAATATGCCTAAAGGGGTGTTGGAAGTAAAAGCAACTAATAGTTTTACCAAACAAGTCACAAAAGACGTGCTTATTAATAAAGTCATTCAAGGAATCTAGGAAAAGTATCCATCATAGTTATCAAAGAACATTTACATTCACCAAGATAATGCAAGGTCACACATTCAAGGTTTGCACTCAGACTTTGTTGCTCCAGGTAACACAAATGGTTTTCACATTACTCTAGATAACTAACCCCCCATCTCCCCATACTTAAATGTGTTGAACCTTGGGTTTTTCAAAGCCATACAGTCATTACAAGAAAAGTGTGCTCCAATTAATGTGGCGGAGTTGTTAGAGACAGTTTTAAGTTGCCTTATATGGGGAAAGACAGACTAGACAGGGCAGGGACACAACTTAAGTGATTGAACATAGACCCAGACATAATTTTGAAGGCAGCAACACTGCTTAGACAAAGAAATGGGACTACACATGAACACATGATTGAGTTCAACACTGAAGAGGGAGATGAATACCTATCTTTAGAGTTAAACTGAATGAAATGAAAGTAAGAAATGTTTTTTTGGGGTGGGGTTGGGGGTTGGGGGAGTTGGTTTTTCATAGTGGCAGGTAGTGTGGTTTTCTAAGTGCTTACAAGTTTTAGGTTTTTCTTAATTGTAGACACACTGGGTTTTTTATCTTATGCATATATACTCAGAACAAGGCAACTACACTACTTAGTTTATATGTACTTACAGCAGTGAGCATTATGTAAAGATGCACTTCATCATGGCCAAATTCATCATTGCCAAATTTTTGTTATGTTAATGCCACTTCATCATTGCCAAATTTTTAAGATGCAAACATATACATAAGACAGAAAAGAATACTTAAACCCAAATGGTCATCATAGTAGGTTACATTTTTCTCAGACAAATTCATGTCCTAAATTGATGTCTTCACAGAAAATGACAACATAGATTAAGTACTAAAAAACACTCCCACATGGTAAATTTATCATCCTAGTACATATTGTTTTCTTTGATAAGGAAAACTTAATCCCAGTCATCACAAAATTTGGCCAACAGAAATCATATATACACCATTCTATAGCATGCAAACATTCTCATAATAGAATCACACCATCAACAAATCAACAGTCATAATTAGGCATGAACAAGCAGTCATCACAAAAATAAAGGCACGAAGAGAAAGGATGTGAAAGTTACTCCCCTACATGTACTTTGAAGTTCAAAAGTTAGGGTCGAGAGTGGGAAGTAAGATGTTCAGCATATCGATGTGGGGGTGCATGCGTGAATAGATCCTTGGAGAAATCTCAATACTAGTCGTATCAAACCCCTCTATCTCATCACTGTCAATTTCTTCAATGAAGAACTCAGCCTCCTCACTCCCAAGAACAATAACGGAGTCTGTGGCAGAGGTAAGGTCGATTACCTCCTTGTCTATGACCGGGGCAGCATCAGCACCATCGTCGTTATTGTCGATGACCTCGTCCTCCTCGTTGTCGTCAGAGATGAAGGGGTAGCCACCATCTCCAAACTGTGTTTCTGGAATACGTGATTCGTAAAGGAAATCACGAGATTCCATTCAATAGAGTAGAAATCTAGGGTTCTTGGAGGGGAGAGTAATTTAGGGTTCGCCGAAGCAGATGAAGATTTAAGACAATCTGGTTGTGCGAGAGAGGGAGAGAAACTGAGTAGATCTATACATATCTAGAAGGTGCGAAGAAGTAAATGAGGAGAGGAACGGTTGTGGAACTCTGTAAATGCGTGGAGATGAATGAACGGGCGAAGAAGTAAATGACGAGAGGAAAGGTTGTGGGAAAGAGTAACGGGTTAGAATTTGATAAGGGTATTTTTGGAAGAGACTGAGTTTAAATTAGAAATAAGAACTTTATTTATGGATAGAGAAAAAGGATAAATGAGAACTTTAGTTCGGGATGGGGGAGTATTAATGTATTGTTTCAATTTTAATATACATGTTCATAATAACACTACATGATTAGACTTAAGATAATTAGATTGAAAAACACAATAATGTCAAACGTAATATCACGTGGGTCACAAAATAGAATTATTCATGGGGGTGAAGGAAAAGATAGCATGGAATGGCACTATAGCTACTATGAATGCACCACCTATTGATAGACAATACCACACTGCTACCCATCACAACATTTATTCGCCATCAACTCTATTCCCAATTATAGTTTTGAACATTTTTCAAAAAAAAAATTATAGTTTTAAACATTTTATAAATGAAACCCGACAAAAAACATTAAAAGAGGAAAAATATTACTACTATGCACTATGCGACAAACTCATCAATATTGACATTCTTAATGTCTCGAAGACAATAGTTTCTCAAAAAAACAATACAATAAGTTAGTGCAATTTATATTGAATAATCAGTTACCAAATAAGTATAAACGATAATCTGTATGAATCTAACCCCTTTTTATACAAACAGAATCATATGTTGCATCTCAACTTCTCCCATGAACAAATAAAAAAATATCACAAATGAAACTCAACAAAGCCTAAAGCATAACTAATGCTACCAAAAAAACACAATAACAAAAAACAATAACAAGGCGCTATACATCCCACCCATCCTTCCGGCGGTCAAATTCCGACTTCCGGTCGGATATGCTCCCGTAAATCTCCGAGAATTTCCGGAGGCATCCACTCCGAACTCGATAGTGAGCTTGCGTGTTGCCGCTGATAGCGACTCCCGAAAACTTGGACATGTCCACGGCCCACGCCGGCTTCACGTACTCGACCGTGGCCGACGACGCGTTAGCGTATAGGTAGTTCAAAAGCACGTCCTCGCAGTTGAAAACCGCGTTGACAACTTCGCGCCCCGCCGAAGCCTCCTCGCTCCAATACCTTCCGAACGCCGTCCGGGCGTCGAGGAACGCCGCCCCGGTCAATATCATGTTGTACCCGTTGTGCTTGCGAGCGTGCCGCTCCGGCCGGTATTCTAACGGCGGGCCCGCGCTGACGAGCCGAGGGTAGTACCCGACGATCCTGTCCGGGTGCTGACGCCACACCGAGAAACCCCGCTCGACGTCGTCGCACGTCATCATGATGTCATCGTCGAGTTCAAGAACGGCCCGGGTCTTTACGAGCGGGTCGGGTCTGAACCGGTTGTTCAGAGAGTTCTCCTCCTCCACTCGTATCCTCACCGGGACCGCCGAGTCGAAATCGCTAGCCCGTGGGGGTTTTCCCTTGTTCCACACGACGACGATTTCGCGGACTGAGGAGCATCTCGAGTAGTGTTTGATGTACATTTTCAAGTTCCACATTCGGGCATCGTACGTCATTGTCAAGAGAGTGAACTGAGAGTAGTGACCATTCAAAGGGTACGGTTCTTGAGCACCGTTGCCTCCATAGATGTAAGTGACACCGGAACACGCCAAAACAGCTGCAATTGAGAACACCATGGCAAGAACCAAAGCTCCGAAACATGTGTTTGGTTTTATTCTCGCACGTAGGAAGAGGCCCACGCGGTTCAACTGGCTGCACGACAACCCCAACTTCAAACATAACGGGTTTTTCGTTTCTTCTTTCCGCGATGAAATGGAATCACTCTTCTTTCCCAAGTTGTGGGATTTCCAGCCCAAAGGTGCAACAAACTTCACGACCCCGAGTAAAACTCCAAACAATATGACGAAAACTACAACCCCAACCACAGAAGCAAAGCCAAGGACAAACCGATGCCTCACGTCTCCGGAGTGCACGCAGTCCCCATCCAAAATGCCGATCCACTCTCCTGAGTTCAGCCGTTGCACGTCAAAGTGATGGCTGCGGGCCCCATTCCAGGCATTGATCCCCTTTATAGACTCTCCAATGCCGAAGGGAACTTCGGCCTCCGCGTACTCGTTTGTTGTGAGGTTTTGTATTCTGAACACACGTACGCGTCTGCCATATGTGTCGCCACAGTCTTGACCAACACGGTATATGTTTCCGTTATACAAAAATGGTCTTCCTCCGTTTCGGGCCCCAATGCTCGGGTCCGTGTTGTAAATGGGATTCTTCGTGTGGGGTCTCCAAGGGCCAAGAGGGGAGGTGCTATACCAGATCTCTAGTGGTCCGTTGTTCTGGGTTCCAATGCCACTGTGATCTGAACCAAACAGCCAATATTTCCCATCATGTGGGATTATAGAAGGATCTATGATGGGCTTTTTCATTATAACCTTCTCTTGAACCCATTTTGTGGGAAAATCTACAGCACGGTACAGATTAAGTTCCCCCTTTTCACTGCTTTCAGGCAACATATATATCTGCCAAGAGAAAGAGAGAGCGAGAGAGGTCATAAGTAGAAGAAATGCAGGGCAGTGTTTTACAGGAAAAATGGAGAATAAAATAAAGTGCATGATACATTAAAGCCTTAAAGGTATGTTTGGAACACGGAAAATGCTAGTGGAAGAAAATAGACAGGACATTTAAAAAGGAGAGATAATGCCCGGAAAATAATTGTTCATATTCATTTTTATGGCACAGAGGGAGTATTTGATTTGCTTCTCCCATGAGACAACATAAAGAGCCCACATATCTATGAATGTCATGTTAACAAACATAGACAAGACTAAAATTTAGATCTTACAATCCCATTGTAGTCAAACACATACGGAAATGAGAGATGCCAATCTTCGTCCAATGCAATGCCCAAATGTTCCCATGTTACTCCTTTATCAACACTTTTAGCAACTCCAATATCCCCTTGCATTGTGATCGGATTCTTTGTTTCAAAAAAGAGGTAAAGAATGTCTCCCTGAAAAAGGAAAAGGAAATATTTATATTTCACAATTGAAATATAATGGCAAGAAAAGACATATCAACAACAATAACAAGTTTAATGTGTCATTTTGATTTAGTCCATTTTTCTGCCCGAAGCTAAAGAATCGCCAGTAATGACTATTCTAGCTCCATTGGTAATGGAAGGATAATGGAAAAAAATAGATGGAATACAAAGTTAAGTAACTGAGAACATGAAAATTATAAGGAAATGGCATATCTTGAGTGAAAGGTTTTAAGGCTCCTTGATTGCATTTCATTAAATTCAACGATAAAGACAGAGTAACAGATAACAATAATTTTGATCATATTCTAAACCTATCATCACTAAGACCAGTCAGTTGTTAAACTAGAACAGTAAAATCGTCCTAATAAAGTATAGTCATGTTTAAGAAATGCTGTACTAGACTGCGTGCACAACATATGAGTATATCAAATTTTTTAGTGTAGGAGTAAAGTAAAATGATTAAGACATTACAACAAGAAGGAATTGTTAGGCTGTGGAGTCTGATTTCATATTTAATGTACTCTTAAATATTATCGTTCACATGGTTCAACCTTAGCGATGAGGTTGCCGATAGGTGGGCTCGGAAGCCCCCAACCCAAAGGTGGCATTTGGGGTGCAGTCCGGCCTAAATTTTAGGTTGTACGGTTGTACCTTTATTCTTCTGTATAGCTAATTTATAGCATGTATTTTTTGAAATTGTTCATACTCTGGAATCAACCATATATAGTCATATACCGCCTTGGAGTTCGCCATCGGTGTTACCACATATTCTTTGTGTTTTCTCTCTATAAGATTTTTGTTTCTTCTTCATCCTATTTCTTGAATTTTCTTCATCATCTAAAATACTATGTGGTGTGTGTGATACGACCTGGAATCCGCACCATATTTCCTCATCCTACATAGTTCACGCTACCTTTGTCAGTGCATCCTTCCCAAAAACATGGTGTTACTGTCATGGTTGTGAAATCAATCATACATTTGATAACTTCCATCTTGTGAAATGATATCTATTCTTAGCTCTCAATGTCACAGTTGGGCTACATTAATAATAGAAGTTGAGTTCTTCCCATGTAAAACTATCATAGACAAATCAACCATGACAATCTAAGATGAGGCAGCATGGCATATGTTCTTTTTTTTGGGTGACACGAAGCACTCTTTTCTTCTATTCTGAGAATCGGCTGAAGTGTACCCCACTCTGTCACCTTGAGGCTTACGTATCACCTTTTAGAAGAAAGTTCCCTGAGGCCCATTTACGTTTTTTCAATAGTAAAGTAGCAGTTAGTCAATGCAACTTTTGACGCTCGACATGTCACATGTGTCATCTAAAAACAACCGCTCTATGTTTTACACATAGGGTCAGACAACGTACATCTGCCCCCCCCCTGGCGGGTCAAAATAAGAGGAGCAATAGTGAGACAAATAAGAAAAAGTTATTGGACCATCGGACATGTGCAACTTTCTACGGAAGACACTATAATGTTGGACTATTAAAAAAGTTGTGTATGTGAAGATCTATGTGTAGCAAGAAGCTAAAAAGCCTATAATGAAAAGTCACATAAAAATGCGTGTAGCAACTATTGAACATAAAATAAGGTAGAATCAACTGCATTAATTTGGGCAAATTTAGTGTCCTGGTACGTGGGATGAAGAATTGGAATACTAGAGAGTAGAGACTTCAAAAGGAATCACGGTAGACCAAAAATAGAATAGATCAATGGTGTAGAAAAGGCAATAGAGCACATAGTGCGTGACAAGAAAATCATAAAAAACAAAGCATCTTGCAACATTTCACTAGAAGTACTAAATCCATATTTATCAAACCCTCTTGAATAAAATGATCATCACAGCCAGTATCTGTAACCAGCTTCATATGATATACAAGTATACAACGAAAAACCACTTAACCAACACCTGCTCATTTAAATAATGGAGCACCGAGCACCAAAAAGTATACTA